GTTAAGGTATGTGAGCCAGGGGGAACCCATTTTCTTGTATAAGTATGATAGTAATCGAGTCAGTGTGGCCATGCCTAATCATACTATCGCCAAGTGGTGTGTGTTGGTTGTATGCTCGATCATTGCCACTCAAATATCTCGGCTCAGCTAGCGTCCTTGTCCACCTGAGCAGGTGCTTGTAATCAGTCACAGAAGATGTGCTGGCTTATCCAAGTGGGGAGTTAGCATCTTTGTCGACTCCATCTTTAAAAGTTAATGCTACGTGTCAGATCTTGATAGGTGAATAATTCTTTCTTTCTGTTTTTTTGTTTTTGTTTTTGTTAAAAATAGGTGATTAATTCAGTTCAGGTCGTATCCAGTTTCAGGTGGAAACAGAAATGAAAACAAACACAGCCTTACCCTAGAACTAGATAGCATTTTCTTTTGGCGAAGAAATGGAAGAAATTATTCTACATTATTCTTGGGTCAGCACAACTGTAACTCTAGATGAGGAACTGATATTTATCGGCATATCACTTTTACTTGTAATATTATTCATTGTTCATTATTGATTCCAATCAAACCTGATATTACTTGTAGTGTATATCATGTTGAGGTTGGGATTCTTATCAACAGAGATGACAATGATGGAAAGCAAGAATCATAATCTGTATGAAAAACATATAAAATTATATTCTGATCCCTCTCCACCCACAGCTTTTGTTTCTTTGGCAAATGAGTGGATGTGACCATCCAATTGTAAAAAACCATGGGACAGACTTGATGTTTATGTGTGATAGCTTCGTATTGTAACCTCACAGTCTCCCCTCTCCTCTGTCTTGGGTAGGTGGCAAAGGAATAAAGGGAACATATCTTCTCAACAATTCTTTCCCTTTGAATGTTTTGTTCAAAATTGCAGCCAGAGAGAGACATGACAGGGACCACTGCCTATCTTCTAAAAGCTAAAGTTCTCATGTCAGTCAATCATTATGGTGATATTTCTCTTTTGCTCAATTCATGGTTTGGTTCTTTTACCCTCTGCTTGTGCTGTTTTTATTATTCTCCACTTACAAGAACCACTTATCATTGAAAAAGGCAGGAATTTTAGGTCTTGTGTATTCCTTGGAAAGAGCTGTTGCATCAGAGATTCAGATTACTGTATAGTTGGTTACTGGTTAGTAGCATATAAGAGATGGAATTTAGGTTAAAGAAAATTGGGTACCCTACTGTGACTGCTAATTATTCATCATAGTCATCCTATCAGCAGTGGGGCGGGCACTGGTCAAAAATCAGATTATTAGACTATACTTGAATATCAGCAAGGTTTGCTTCTGAGTTTTAAAATCGTCTACCAATCTGATTTTTATGCTCTGGTGTACCAGAAAAGAAATTCAATGAATGAACCACCAACTTGTCTTTCACTTGTCAAATAGTCTACACTGGTGAAATAACATCGTCCAATTTCCTTCTCTTTTTTATTCTCTTAAAACCAAGTAGCAATGGGAAAAGCTTGCTTCCAAGGTGGTTTCTTTGCCAATTTGAACCATTTTCCGGGTTGATAAAAACTGGGCCCACATTAAGCCTCATGATTCATGAAATCATGAAGTCAAAAAAAAAAAAAACTGCGCCCACACTTATTCCCTTATCTGCTTAGTTATGAACTTGAAGCCACATGCACAAAACATCACTGCGTTCTTTAATGTGAACCAATTCTCCCTATTCTTTCCCTTGTAACTTGTAAGTGGGCCTCAGAATGACTGGGCCCCAAAAAGATTCAAGAACCTTCAAATTTGTGATTCGTCAATAGAGGGGATATTTACATTTTGGAATGTCTTGGATTTGACGACAATTTAGAATCTACAAATAACACTTTTTTTTTTTTTTCATTTTAACAATTTCCATTTTTGAAATGGCAGAAACCCTAATTTTATTTTAGTAAAATAAAAATTATAGGGTAAGCTTAAATAAAATCTATGAAACTATAAATTGTGTTCTAGTAAATGATCATTTTCTTTACGCATTAACAAAAGAAAGAACAGTTGAATTAGTTGTTTGGTGATATATCATCTATCTCAATAAGCTTTCATATTTTATTTTTTATGGGTATTTTCGTTTTTTAATTTGGGGAATCCATTGATCCATTCCATGTCTAGCGAGTCATCTTAATCAAATAAAATAATTGTTACCTTTGTTAAAAGTTGGAAACAAAGTTGTCCTTGATCGGAATATCTGTCTAATCTTCCCTTAAAATGCCTTTCATAGAATCCAACTCCATTGTTCATTTCAAATTTGGCCCCGTTTGGGAGGTTTTCACAAAGCGGCTTTTGGATTTGTAAGATGGGCTCCACATGCACATGGATAACCTATAAGTTATGTCTGGCGAATAATCTAGAAAGCTCAAATATGTTGTCCTTGAGCTAAAAAAAAGGCTTTCATGCGAAGCTAGCAGCCCTCTTCTCTCTCTCTCTCTCTCACACACATACACACAACACAAACATTTAGCTGAACATGATGAATGTATAGCAGAATGTAGAACCAGTGTGGGCCCTATGTATTTTGATGGGCATGGGGCGTTATTATTGGTTCCACAGCCCATTGAACTTCAAATGCATTCAGCTAATATGATCTACACATGCACACAAAAGACTAAAAAGGAAACGAAACCCAATCTCAGGATTTAAAAGTGCTTTATAAACAATTGATTATGAATAAATGTTTTGAATTTAAGTTGTATTTGTTACCATTACTGTTTTTACCTTAAAACATTTTGGGTTGAATGAATATAAATTGGTGAGAAGTATGATATCAAATCATATATGAATTGCTTCAATTAGAAAATGTAAGTGTGGAACTGATGATATGCTTGGAACATCAAATTTGACGTTTTATGTAGAAATAATAAATTTTATTGATAAACCCAAAACGTTTCACATAAAAACAGGAATGATACCAAACACAACCTTAATTACAAGAAATCAAAATCACCAAAATGCCAAATGCCACCAAATTGAAATATCGTTATCATAGTCAGACTTAAGAACTGAATAAGGTCTTTCAGAAAAAAAAAAAACTGAAAAGGGAAAAACCTATAAATGAGGGCATATTTAGCAATTTTTGTTTTGAAATGCAACTGCACCAATTCAATTATTTCGTCGGATCAGAAATATCAGAAGAAGACACAATAGGGGTAACCACATCAGGACATAGAAACCAAGTACATGGTCATAAAGCCAATCGTGCCATGGATGAGCTACTTTGTTAGCAGTCTCCTAACCAAAGATACCGAGATAGAAGGAAGTCGTGAAAATTAGCTTTTGCAGTCAGTAATTATAAAGCTGATTCTCCATGGTAATTGTGTTGTGTCCACCAGCAGAAGCTGAACTATAACTGAATCATCACCTTCTATAACCACTTAGTGAAAATTCAATTCAAGCGCAAACTCCAGTCCTTACGGAAAGCGAAAGCTTGCGCTTCAAGTGATGTGCACGAAGACGGGAATTGCTCATGAAAACAAATGGGAAACATAATACCAACACCAGCAGCCTCGGTACTAATAGCTCTATCAACATTAATTTTAATGCAGTTCTGAGGAGGCTTAATCCATTCACTTGAAACATGTGCTGGAAGCTCCCGTTCAGCCAATGGAACATACAATCTTTGGCTCGATTGAAGCACAGTTGATATGGACTTGTGTTCTTATAAGGCTATGTTTGGAAAGAATACAAATGCAAATATATAGAGTGCAAAATTAAAAGGTTGATGTTCAAATTCCGATGCCACCAGATGAACTACATCGATACAACTCCCACTCAATAGGACATGTCTCTCCTATTGGGGTTGGGGTTGATCCATTTTCCAACCATTCAATCAGCCACTGTGCTACACTTTTACTCAAATCACACTCCATATTGCAAACAGAGTGAAACCAAACCAGATTGGCTTAACTACAGGACAGTAGAACAAAACGTGTTCCAAGTTTGTCTGTTTTTTATTTTTTTATATTTTTTCAAAAGGAGCCTCTTGCCACCATAACACAAACAGCGTAGTTTATAAAAGCAACCCGAAGGACGGAATTCATACCATCCAATGTCAAGCGATATGATAGAGGATTCCCTGAAGCCCAATCTCAGCCGCTAGTCTGGAATATTGGCCATTCAGTGCCCCAACGGTTCAAACTTTGCTGCTGAATCCCCTCCACCTCCGACTCCGGCTAGCGAATCTCTAACCCAATTGAGTCCATTTCCTAAAACATCATTACTTTCACTTTTGGGCCCATCTACACATTTTGAAAACTTTTTTCTACAATTAATATGAATATAGATTTGACATTTTATTATAATAATAATAATAATAATAATAATAATAAAACATCATTGGAGTTGAATTTGTCAATAGGCTGGATTATGGATATGAATATGATATTCAACAAGCTAGGGACGACATTGTTTCATGTTTTTCAGGTCCCGAAATTCACTGGTTCACCGATCAGGCCGGGTCTATAATTAGAGCCTCATATTATTGTTATTATTTATGTATTATCGTCACATGTCAATGGGCAGCCGGCCGGGGTAGCTGGGTTTAAACTTTAAAAGATTCTAGAAATTCAATTCCAGGGGATGGAGTGAATAAAGCGCCCCAAACGGTGGAAACGTTCCTAACGAAGAGAAACGTTTTGGATTTTGGAATCCACGTGCATTTCATCTCATGGTCTTCATAAAGCTAAAATATCTGATATTTTTCAAATGCATGCATTTATTCTATTTTATTTAATTATTTAATTCGGGGCCTGAAAAAAGCTAAGTATCTGATATTTTTTCTCTTGACGTGGATCAAATACAAACATTTATTTTCTGATGGGGATCAAAATGGAAATCCATTGTTCACATATCTTACAGCAAGGCGTGCATATACATACTTCCTTTTCACCAGAGAATGTGTTCCTTCATCCTTGTGCCATCTCTCTCTAGATCTCTGCCCTCCTCTGCTATATATACTCTGCCATGGGTAGATCTGTATTCATTCCCACCCAAGCTTCTATTCCCTATCTAGCTTATTGTAGGAGGATTTTGTATCTCTATCTATTACCTCCATTATTTCTTGTCCATTGCTTCAAACCCTTGTCTCTGTTCTACCGTTTCTTTCACATATAAGGATGGATTTGAAACGTCAGGTTGCCTACATGAGAAGGTCCCTCTTTGATCAGGTCTTGTTCTGCTTCTTCTCCTCAGGAAATGAAAGCCCATTTAATTTCCAGAATAGGTAGTTTTGTATCTTTTTTATTAAATTTGGGTAAGAAATTTATATGCATGCATGTACATCTGTAGTCAAGGAATATCAAAATGAGGCAACGTACTCAAATTGTGTTGGTAGCTTAATTTGCATTAGAAAATAGCATATCTGGTTTTCTTTAAGTAGGATGAGGTTGCCTTGGATATCGTTCTAGCATGCAAGTTGCAATGCTTAATTTAATTGTTCATTGAATGGAATGGATTATACAACTTGATATTGTATGAGAGCCAGACAATCAGTATATATCGATTGTTCTCGGATACATACATATATACATATGCATGCATATCTCTTTCTATCCCTAAGATATCTTATCACTTTTAGACACCGGCTAGCAGGAAAAAGAAAGAAACAGAAAATGTTCTTTATGCTTTTTATATATACATACATAGGCATATATATCATATATTATATCCTTCTTTGTTGTTTTATAGAATTTCTTGTTTTTACTGGATTAAAGTGTTTTTTTGTCCTCTCAACTGAAAAAGAAATACCAAAAATAAAAATGTTTTGGTTGTTTCAGGGATACCTTGATGAGCAATTTATTCAGCTGGAGGATTTGCAGGATGATGTTAATCCTAATTTTGTGGAGGAAATCGTGACATTGTTTTATAGGGACTCAGCAAGATTAATACTCAACATAGAGCAGGCAATGTGAGCAATCTAAAGTAGAAACATATATATTCTTACCTCATTGCTTTCTAATAATAATGATTATAAAAAATAAAAATAATAATAATAATAATAAGGAGCTACATTTGTCTATGCAGGGAGAAGAGCCCTCTTGATTTCGATAAGCTGGACACCTACATGCACCAGTTCAAGGGTAGTAGTTCAAGGTACAATTAAAAAGATAATTGATCTTCATTATAATACCGGAGAAATTAATTACTACGTACGTACTCTCGCTGCACTGATTCACTCTATGCCATTTTCAAAGTAATTAATATAAGAAAAGAGGTTTATTTTGGTCTTTTCATAAAAAAGGAAATTCAAATTGGGTCTAAAAAGTGAATACTTGGAAATTGACGAAACTATGTAGTAAATTTCCTTTAAATTGATGTACAAATTAAAGAAACGTGGTATATGCCTTTTTCTTTCATAATTTTGGTGAGATGGCATATACCTTTCTTTTTAAGTTAATTGTGAGATGATATATAGTTGACAGAGTGAGTTGTTGGATATATATATGGGCCTAATGACGTTAGAGAACCGGGTTGTTGTCATTGTCTTCAATTTAGCTTGCATTTATAGAGAGGCGGAATTTTAATTATTGCCATTTGTCTTAGTAATTTGCCCTGCGAAGATTTAGTACTGTTTTCTTTTCACCTACTTTTAATAATAAAAAGACACTAACGGAAGGTCATTTGTTGGCAGCATTGGAGCTAAAAAGGTAAAGAGCGAGGCTACACAGTTCAGGGAGTTCTGCAAGGCAGGAAATGCTGAAGGGTCTTCTTCTTCTTCTTCTTCTTCTTCTTCTTTCTATTTCTCAAGTTTCATAAAACATGCATGTTATTGGTGAAATGAAGATACAGTTAGACGTCTGAAATTGAATAGGTTCTTATTGGGTTCAAGCTCCTTGATAAATAATCTGGGACTATATATATATATATAGAATATTGAGTTGTTTAATTAGAAATTCAGAAAAGGTATTCCGTAGACTGTTGGTCAATGTTTGGCATAACAACGACTTATTTTTTCTCATTCCAATTAGCTAGCATATTATCCAAACATTATAAGGTCCCCCCTCACCTCACGATAGGAAAAAGAAGATGGATGGATAGATATAGACATAGAGAGATAACAAGAGATTCCTTCCTCCAACTTATAATCTTTTCTTGGTGGGCCCGCCTTTTTTTTTTTTTTTGTGCAGATGCTTAAGGACTTATCAACAACTTAAGAAAGAATATACAACTTTGAGAAAGAAACTTGAGACATACTTTCAGGTAATCATAACTTCCTAGTGGTTTTTATTTGTGTTTTGTTTATTCAATTAATACCCAATAAAGACAATTTCACTCTCTGTGTATGTGTTTGATATTCAAGTTGGCGAGACAAGCTGGACCGGCTGAGACAGCGAGTCGCCCCAACTGAGGATAACGATTGACGAGACAAGTACAAACCATAATGCAGTCTGGTGAAATGTGTTCCATGAACCCCAACTGCATTTGCATCCAAGTTCACTCTAAAGTAAAAATGAGGGTTTTAGTAATACATCTCTATGTTTTAATTAGGTGCCATTAGTGTAGTAAGGCTCAATGTTCGATTTCTTTGTTGTTGCTTTCATGAATCAATATAAGATGTTTGTTTGAATAACTCTCTCCCTCTCTCTCTAGTTTTTCAAGTTGAGGTTTTGAGAGAGCCCCATTCCAACCATCTACATTCACCAAATGCTTCGCCTAATACGCTCTTGCAACGTACATAATACTGGCAACGGGTTGAGTTGTGCTAACCAGAATCTAACTTCGGATGACCTACACCAATTTAATAAAGAACGAATGAAAATTGCTAAGCGGAAACACTGTAACTCCGTTTAGTCTATCGTTAGAATTGCTTCTTGTTACGAGGTGTACATGTGTGTGTGAGAGAGATGCCTTTTGGTCCACCAAGACCACTACGTGGCGTAACTGTAACCGAACGAAATGATGGATTCACTTGTACCATTCAAAGCCTGATTAGAAATATTCTTAATCCAGTACTGTAAGAATAATGTACCGGCGGATTCAACACAACTCTTTGAAAAAGGAAGATAGAGGCGTCTGTTGGTTTGCATCCAGCCACGCATCCCCTGAAATGGTGGGTGCATGACCTTTTAACCATCTTAATCACTACTACCTTATCTTCATCATTCTGATCAAGGGTGTCAATTGGACTGGATTTGGTCCAATTCGATCCAGTCCAATGTGAATTCATTATAAATGAACCAGGTCCAATCCAATTCAATGAATGTTTTGGACCAATTTGGAGTGGTCTAATTCAATGTCTGTACCATTTAATTTCTTCAAACTCATTTTGATTTAGATTGATTTTAATCCAAACCCAGTCCATTAATACATATATTCTTATCTTATATCAATGGATCAGATATTGACTTAATCCAACCCAATCCAATATAAATTTGTTATGAAAGAATCAGGTCTAATCCAGTCTAATAAATATTTTGGACTGGATTGGTCCAATTTAATATGTCTTATTGATTCATCTAATCCGTCCAAATTAATTTTGGACTAGACGGGATCCAATCCAAAACCAGTCCATTGACACCCTTACCGATGAGTGATGACCGATGTCCTCTTTATATATATAGAGAGAGAGAGAGATGTAGAATCCTTTCATAGGACTTGTAAGATGGGTGCATGTCATCGCCAACCTTCTTATCCCCTCACTTTTACAAAGCCCGCCCACTTGAATCCTTCTTTTCACGCTTAGCTTTAGAGCTCCACCACGTTTACACCTGGGACCACTCCACTCTTAGCTTCTTCACTCTCCTTCAAGCATCAAGCGTATATAATATAAATAGCAGGTCACGTACGTAAAACCCTTAAACCCTGCCAGATACATCGCCAAGTTCCAACACCCCCAGTTGAAGTCACACCAGCAACAAACTCCCGCGCCATTATTCGCTTTCTCACCCTTCAAATAAGACAGGATGTGACTGATGCATATGATGTAGCCCATATTCTATTAATCTATCTATTCTCATGGGTCTGCTCTACTCTAACAATCACCGTCTTTCACACTTCATTTGAATTTTGTACACAAGGGCCGGGTTGGTCCGTTGCAGTATCAAATTAAGCCCCATCTCTTCCCTAGGCCCCCTTACCTCTGTGGCCTAAGTAAACTCAAGCCCAATCCTACGTTTAATAATTGTTGTTATTGGGTCTCTCTTAATTTCTAGTTTCTACTACTAGATCCTGACTCTTGAGCTGCACCCAAGTTAATTTAGGTAATTAGGAGATTGACCCATTTAATTTATATATGTAGGCCATTGCCGGGTTTAATTAATTAGGCTATATATGAATTCACAAGTTGATCACTCCAATTTACAATACTAATTTCATTTAAGATGATATGATATGATATATATAACATGAGGCGGCAATTTACATTACATGGCGGCCGGCCACTAGATCAGTTTAATTACTACTCCTTTCTTTCCTCCTGCGTATTAATTAATTAGTTAAGAGGTAGCTAGGAGTGACAAATTAACAAGTAGTCGATCACACACAAGTGACAAGTGCATATATATATATAGATAGATATAGATATAGATGACTTATGTTTGAAGGGTAGCAAGGTTGTAGAAAGCACCTTGCTTGCTCTTGAGGTGTGCATAAGTTCCTCGCTCTACCACCTTTCCATCTGCAACAAAAGCAATGGAGTCCAGCTTCTTGATGGTATTGAGGCGATGGGCCACTACAATGGTGGTCCTCCCCACCATGATCCTATCCAATGCCTCCTGCACAACTTGTTCCGACTGAACGTCGAGGGCGCTAGTAGCTTCATCCAGTAACAGTATCGTCGGATTCCTTATGATTGCTCTTGCTATTGCGATTCTCTGCTTCTGCCCCCCTGATAGTTGCACTCCACGTTCCCCGCATTCTGTCTCGTACCCATCTTTTAGCGCCCTATTCACATGCAAATTTTATGATATCACATATCATGCATATATATATATATATATTCTTCTGGTTTCGCCAACTAATTAACTTAGTTATCACATTGATCATCAGCACTTACTTACCAATCTCCGATTATATTGCTAGCACAACCCAAATCTATCTAAGCATGCATGCAGCATTTTATTAGTAATGGCCCAATATCTGAATTGATCCAATTTCCAATATTTGTGGATAAGATTCAATTCCTAGCTATTGGTATTGGATATCCAATAATCCATTTGCATGCAGCACGCCCTAGGGCGGGCTAATCATTTAGAATTCAGTGTGGGGCAGAATTCATTTTCCCTCCCCCCTTAGCCCCCTAGTAGTGGCCGGCCCGAATCTAAAGTAAGTGGTCCAAACAAAGCCTTTTTTAATAAGGTAAGGTACTAACTACTAAGGTGCATTTATGCATAAGAATTCATCCACTTCTAACTTCATGGATCATCACCACTGCCTGACTATAATTTATAATGTGATGCCGCTGGGTCGCCTCATGGTAATTAAGGAAATCTGATGGATGATATACATGATCGATCGATCAATACTTACGAGATGAAATCGTGTGCATTAGAAGCCTTGGCAGCCTCGACCACCTCGCTCTCGGAGGCTTCTAGCTTTCCAAAGACGATGTTGTCACGTATGCTGCCGGAATATATGACTGGCTCTTGGCTCACAAGTGCGGTGTGGCCTCTGTACCACCCAACTTCAAGTTCCCTTATGTCCGTCCCATCCACCTTCACCGTCCCTCTCTCTGCATCATAGAACCTCTGAATTAATCCTATCACTGTTGATTTGCCGCACCCGCTTTTTCCGACTAGGCCGATGCTCTTGCCGGCCTTCACCTCTAGGCTGAATTGGCGTAACACTAGACATCCCGGTCGACTTGGGTATGCAAAATCAACCTTCTTCATCTCTATCCAACCACTTACCTTGTCCAACTTCCTGCCACTGCAGGTACCGTTTCCCGGCCCCTGATTCAAAATCAACTCCATCAATCAATACGTGCAATTTAATTATATATGCATGACATAGATGTGGACATGCATTATATGGGCTGAATTCAATATGATCTGTTGGTTTCAACATGGACTGAAAATAACAGCCCCAGCTAAAGCCCAACTTTGATTTGTGGCACCCAGATTGCTAACCCTTGCAGCATGATGAGCCAAATTCTTGCTCAATTAATTGCATAGCTTGGTACAGGAAGCCCATATTATATATACTAGCCCAAGAACAATGCTTCAAGACTAGCTAGCCCAAGTGTAGTTCGGATTATCTGAGCGCTTTAGCTGTGTTAGGGGCTTTTTCAACCAATAATAACTTTCCATGTCATCCAATTAATCTCCTTCGCGTGCATGGCATGGCTGACATGGCTGACATGGGGTGTTATATTATTGGTTGAATCATCTCTAAGGCAGCCATCTACTGCAGCTAGCTAGCTAATGCTCATATGAACAAGTATTAAGGATCGAGTTTAATTAATTAATTAAAACCGAGAGAAAGGTTCTTAATTGGTTCTTACATGGTAAGAGTAAGACCCCGGGATCAGGGATTGTCTGTCAAGCACCTCGAACACCGATGCAACTGCAGTGGCGCCCTTGGCTAGGTCGGACGTCATGCTCCCGGCGTCAGCTATAACCTTCCCAGTGCTCACCAATATGAAGAAGGTCTTGAAGACGTCCCCAGCTGATATCTGTCCTGATTCCACCAACTTCCCACCAAACCAGAAGTCCAGAGCCCATGACATGAAAGTCAGGCATTGTGCAGAACCCATCCCTATCCCAGCTAGCCACGATTTCTTCCTCGCTGCCTTCCTTGGCTCCTCTTGAGCTTCATCAAAGAGCTCAAGGACCTTCCCTAAACTTCCAAATGATGTAACGATCCTGTGATTGTACACGGCCTCCACTGCGATCTGGGTGCTCTGATTTTGCGCCTTTATGAAATTCAGTGAAATGCTAGAGAGTAGAACTTTTCTTGTATAGAAGCATAGTATTGTCAGCGGTTGAACGGCAATCATGACTAGTGCAAGCTTCCAAGCAACTGCTAAACCCATCACCATGGCAATGATCACGGCCGAAGAGGTCTGCACTAAAAGGGACAACCTATCCGCGACTAATGATTTAACCATGGAAGCTTCATTACTCAGCCTGGAACATAAGGCGCCACTTGAGTTGTGTTCTTCATCAAACCATGCGGTTTCGAATGTTAAGATCTTCTCTAGCATTCTCAATCGAATTCTTCTGGTGAGGTGCTCACCCATGTAGGCGAAATTGTAGTGTTGGGAGAGGTTGATGAGTATGGAGATGAGGGAAAGGGAGGAGAAGACTAAGGAGTATGTTCGGATCCGTGCGCGCATCTCTACGTGGCTCTGGACGAAAAAGGCAGAGATCATGCCACCGATGGTTATGGCGTAAACGGGTTGGACTGCACCGAAGATAATCGCAGAGAGGCTTCCCATGACACCGTTCTTCCATTCAGGAGAATTCAACAACAGAAGCCGAGTGAAAGATGGAGGGGGATAAGACACAGGCAACGGATTCTCAACAGGAAACGGTGACATGAATGAAGTGGGGCTCTTGTTTATACTCAACCGGCCAGCACTACTTCTTGCAACCGATGAAGACATATGGCATAATTCTGACGTTTGTTCAGTATCGTCACAGCTGAACTGCCTCTGTAATTTTGCCAGTCTTGCATAATGACCGTTTGTTTTGTTAATGAGCTCGTTGTGAGATCCAATTTCAATAATAGAACCGCCATTGACCACTGCGATTTGGTCTGCGTTCTTCACCGTCGAGAACTTGTGTGCAATCACCTGATTGTTAAATTGATTATTTTTCAGAGAATAAAAAAGATTAGATACTGATTGAATATACGGTTCAAACTTAATCAGACAATTGAAATCATCTAATCATATTGACTTTTAATATATATATATATATATATATATATATATGAGCCCTAAGTAGTTCCTAGTGCAGTCAGCAGTGAGTCTCGAGTCTCACCAGGGTGGTTCTTCCCATGGAGGCCTGATCAAGGGCATTTTGGACCAGTGTCTCGGATTCTGAATCAAGGGCACTCGTAGCTTCGTCAAGGAGGAGAATTGCCGGGTTCTTGATGATGGCTCTAGCAATGGCGATCCGTTGTTTTTGTCCCCCTGATAGAAGAGCTCCGCGTTCACCAACCTGTCCAACAGCTCAAATTAACACATTAATTAATTTAGAATGTTAGTATGTTACAACTTTGTAGAAGGGGGATATGGTCGGGTCGGGTCTGGTCGATGACTCCGGGTTTCCCATTCCATCACGACCGAACCAGGATCATATAATATAATGAGAAGCATTTCAATATATGATCGAGTAAAACACTGCCCACTGGATCACTGCTCACTCTTTATCATCGATGTATGTGATGACGTGGATCAATATTGTAAGATATTAACATCATTTTTGCCAGGCCAGAAGGAGACAAGTTGACAAATGCATCCACAATCAACATTTGGTTTGGTTTGGATTATCTATCGACAAAAAAAAAACTAATCATTTGGTTGGGGTTAGTCTTCAAAATAGACTAAATATATAAATAATAACTAGACACTTCGTTCATTTGGCTGGGATTTAAAGCTGGCGCGGCGAGGGCCCACCAACAACCGGTGGAGCCCAAACTTCTTTTTTTTTTTTTATTGATGGGCAGCCCAAACCTTTAGTTGAGTTGATGTTAACGGTGGAGAGAAAATGCAAACATCTCTCTCTTACTTAACTAAACTATGTACGGAAATTTAAGGTTTTATTTTGTTTAAATAAAATAATCTCACATTAATTCCATGGCTTTATCATAAAGTTACGAAAATTTGAGGTCAAAGAATAGACCAGAAATTTAGAACGAAAGTTCTAGATGCAAAAAGAAAAGGAGTTAGAGTTGTAGGACAAAATCTAGAGACATTAAGGTTGCATTTGGCATTAATTCCTTATTTTAAGGATATATCTCTTTTTTACATTTAGTGTTCATATGAGCATTTTAATCATAAAAATCAGATAAGTCTTTAAAATAAGAAATGCCAAATGCAGTCTAACTGATGAATTTTTTTATCAATATTATAAAAGCAAGCAGAAAATATTAAACACCTACCAAGGAGTTTTAAAATATAATGAAAAATGGTCCACATGTAGAATAAAGACAATTAAATATTATATATTAAAATATAAGATATATGATATATTATCTGCTGAATTTTTGGAAAAAATGTTTTCAAATTTCAGAAAGAAAATTTGTTTTATTCCGAAGGAATGAAATGGCAAAAGTCCTAATAATAAAAAAATTTGCTTTAAACCCCAGCTTAAATTAATAATCTTTCTAGACTGAAAATTTTTCAAATTTCAGAAAAAAAAATCGTTTTTTGTGGTTTTTTTCCTTCTTTTGGTAATGATGTTTTTAATGGTTATATGGACTCAATAATCGGACCATATTGGTTAAAGTGGTCAACCCATGATCCAGTGAACTTTCCATTTTCATATCTGTTCGGTTTTAACAACACTTGGGCTGTGTTTGGTTTGATATAAAATAAAAGAGAAATAGAAAATTTAAGGGAAAATTTTTAAAGAATTTTACAAAATCTGTTATCTGTTATGAATTTTCCCCTAATTTTCAATTCTCTGTAAGTTTCTATCAAATCAAACTTCATCATATTTTTCTTTTATTTTTATATTCAATGCTTTTTTTGTTTTACTCTCACCATGTAACTAATTTACCGTGTATATATAGGGGGTGAGTTTTGGTTTTACTTGGACCCGACCCGGTTTCCAGCTATTTAATTAGCACCCCGTAGTTGCACGGCAAAATAAGCAAGAGATGAAAGACGACCCGGATACCTGGACCCACCTTAGTCTCATAGCCTTCAGGAAGCTGTCTTATGAAGTCGTGAGCATTTGCAGCCATGGTTGCAGCAATGATCTCATCCATGGTGGCATCCGGTTTTCCAAACATGATATTCTCCTTTATGGATGTCCCGAATAGGGCATGTTCCTGACTAACAAGACCCATTTTCCCCCTAATCCATTTTAACTGCAACGTCTTAATATCCACTCCATCGATCCTCACTACTCCGTCGTCGGCGTCGTAAAATCGTTGCAGTAATGCAATTGCGGTCGACTTTCCACTCCCACTGGCACCTACAAGAGCTACAGTCTTTCCTGCTTCAACCTTGAGACTGAAATCTTTAAGCACAACAGTATCGGGTCGAGATGGGTATGTGAATTTGACGGATTCAAATTCGAATTCACCACGAACTTGCTCTAATACTAGACCTTTCCTGTCTTCTCCGTCAATGGCCGGAATTCGATCAATCCGACTGAAAATACGAGTTGCAGCCACTGAAGTTTCTGTGAAGTATTTCAGCTCTGGGAGAGCCATGCCCAGAGACCTGCACGCATTACATTTGGGGAGGGTAACCAGTAACCACATCAGATTAATTAATTTAGTAAAATAAACTAAAGATCTAATTAGCAATCATATGATCAGAAGAGAAAATTAACTACGTACAGTCCACCCAAGACGAATGAAATCCCAGCAGCCCAAATGCGTCCTCCACTTTCTCCTTTGTACATGACCAATCGGCTTCCATACCAAGCAAGGAAAGCCCATATGGCAAATGAAAGCCCAGTGCTTCCCACCGCCAGCCCTTTGGCAATACCCTGCTTGATTCCCAGTTTTGTTGTTGTATCCAATATTGCTGAATATCTCTCCACAATTCTCCTCTCGGCGGTGAACGAATAAACCGTCTTAATGGAGCTTAGAGCCTGCTCTATGATGGTATTTGCTTTGCCGTATTCCTTGTAGGATTTCTTGGAAAGGTAGAGAAGGTACTTCCCGTATATCATTCCAGGAATAATCAGAAGAGCAACCAGAGGAAAGGCTACCAGGGAAAGCCTCCATGAAAAGTACATCGAGAATGCAAGTCCAGAGATGAACACAGACATGTGCATCAGAAACAGTGGCACCTGTACCCAAAAATATATAAATAACAGAAAACAAATTATAACAAGTTGATCAGTTAATTTGTTGCAGAATTTCCAGTAACTAAAGCGCCTAATAAAATTAAGAAAGAATCTAGAGCAGACTTGAAAAACAGTTTTACAGATAGTGGTGAACAACCAAACAACTTTTCTTTGGCTGCCATTCGGGGATGGGGAGGTGTCTAGGAGAGTTTTCGGGATCTAGATTGTATAAACTATGTTTTTATAATATACATCCTATTTACCCATGTGCTTCTTTTAGCATTATAAATCTTATATATTAAGAAGTTGGAAGCTAGCGGTGAATTATTTATATGCTCTATACAGAGTACCCATTGATTCTTTCCAAGAAAGTTTGGTTTCAAATTCACTCTGGCGGTAGTCTGGTCAGTGGCCACCCATTAAAAGTAGGAAGGGATCACAGATTTCCAAGTCTAATTAGAATCAAACAACCGGACTGAAACTGCGCTCTTTCCGCTTTATATTATACTACTACTACTACTACTATATATATATATATATATATATATATATATATATATATATATATATAGCACAGAATATATATATGGTATAGGCAACCGTATGGTATGTCATGAACATGATAGATGGGCTAAATGATGATATGATGGTTTGACTTTGAAATGATCAATACCTTCTCACTTAGAAGCTCTTGCATCAGTGAAGTATCGTTGGATATACTGTTTATAACCTCAGAAGTAGTTGCCTCTTGTGAATCAAAGAAGCCAACTTCCTGTCTAAGAACAGCTTCCAAATATTTGTAACGAATCCTCAGTACCTGCCTTTCACTGGTTCGGCTCCAGCAATAGCCTTCTGCACACATTCTTCTTCACTAAAATCAGTTTATGTCCCATTTCTCATTCTCAACTTAAGTTATCATGCATGATCAAGAGATGTTAGTATCAGGAATTACCCATAAAAGCCACCATCATGACTGCTAAGCCCAAGTATACAAAGTACAGACTGCACTGTAATTAAGGACCCAAAATTTTAGTGTGGAAGAAGGGAAACCAGCAGATAGCTAATTAAAAAGAGAGCAAAGGGATGAGAAAACCAACAAGAACACCAGATGATGAAAGGAATTGAATGGGGTTCTGATATCTAACCTTTTCTACACCACCCATGAAATTTCCTTGATTCTCTTGTGTCTCTCCAAATCCTAAGCTGTTCATGAGACGGCTGGCGAAGACTAATAAGCAGTTTGTTGACATCCCATCTCCGATTGCTCCAACAGTACCCAACAACATCAGTACAACATCAACCCAATCGGCATACCTGAAAATCACAGCTACAGATTTCCTATCTTTGCTTCCCATCTCTCCTTTCACTGGCTCCTTGGAAGATCTCATCTCTTTTCTTTCACCCTCTTCCTCCCGAGTTCAGTGTTGCAGTGAATCTGTAGATATGCTTTATTTTCTGCAAAGAACAAGCAAGTTACAGAAGGAGAAGAAAACGGAGTATAGGGGAAGATGGACTGAACTTGTGATCATTACTTGGAAGAGATCTCTCTGCACACACACACATATATATAGAATAGCATCACAAGCCACATATGAAGGTGCAAAAGGTGTTACTTCCACGAGACTACCCGATTCATCATGAGCATTATATGTGGGCTTATGATGCATAGAATTTCTTTAGGTGTTGTGGTTGTTCTTTTCATTCTCTCAGTACTTCCAAAAGCATGCACAAGTCTGTCTATTAGTAGCTTTTTCAATTATTTTCAATAAAGATGACTATGACTAGTGTCTTATTGGTCCTTTTGTTGTTCACTTTACGTTCTTTGCTTTTTGGTTGGTTTGGTATGCTGAAGCAATTCCGCGTTTTCTCTTTATTATTATTTTTTTTTATAGCTTTCGAAATGCTTTTAATGTGACACAGTTACTTTTAATCACATGTCCTTTCTGTAGGTATTGAATTTGAATGCCATACTTTTTAAGTTTTTTTTTTTTTTTTAATTGAAAGCATTCTATCTGCATTTGTCATTTGGTATTTTTCAATATTTAGTTGTACATCCATTTCAAATTCATTCAACCAGTGGATGATACCAAGTAACAAGTAGTTATAATTAAAAAAGAAAAGATTTCGTCGACCATTTTATAAACACACACGAACACACAAGAAGGGCTGTAATGGCCCCATACCAAAATAATAATCCTAGGCGTGATCTGATGGAGTGATCTAGAAAGTGGCCTTAATGAAAATTTTGAAAGCCTTTACATTAATTAAGGGAGGTTAAGATATCTAATTAGTGATTATTCTTTCAGGTATACTGTACACTTCTCTTGTTGAAAGATAACAATTAAAACCATGGTTTTAAAAAACCACTTAGAAATAGAACTGATTTGACCATCGGTTTTTGGGTTGATAGTTCAAACGGACGTTTGTTCTAACAATAAAAATTAAGAAAATAAAAATAAAAAAATGGTCAATAATTATTAAACGGGTCGACGGTTTGACCGTTCGGGTTAACAGGTCATTGACTGATTTAATGGTTTTTGGGCAGATACCGGGTTTGGACGGTCCGATCATCCGGATCAACGTCGGTTCAAAAACCATGATTAAAACAAATTGAAAGTGACATATCCAAGGAGAAGAATAATCGAAATCAAGACTAAATGACCATGGAGAACAAAAAAAGGGAAAAATAATTTCAAACAACTCAATCAGAACCAATTGAGATGGTCAGAAATAAATAAAGGTTATCATCACTGTTATTCTTGATTTTATTTTATTTGTTTTTGGATTTTTGCTTATTTGTAAGGCTCGTTGCTCTTGTATGATTTTGAGGGTCAAATCTTATAGCCCTTTTTTTTTTATGATCATTAATACAATTGGTTTAAAAAAAGTTGAAAGATAACAATTAATTGGAATGAAGTGATATGTTTCATGCTTGATTCCAAATGGCTCAGCCTATATAATTGCCAGGTTCATAGTTCGATTTGGTATTGTTCATGCTTGATTCACAATTACCGATTCCCAATTAATTCATTAATAAATGTTTCCTTTCAACTTTTCTGCATTGAATCATAAAGAAGTCAATTTCCTAACTTAATTATGAGGTTAATTTGAGTATTTTTCAATAGACTTGTTGCCCTCTATGAAACTCAAATAAATAAATAAAGAAACTTTTTCAAATAAATAAATACACTCAATAACTAATCTAAAAAGAAAAAGCAAAACAATTTTAAGGTTCACACATGGGTATGTAGAATCTGGCCCCTCGGTCTCTTCGAATCCTAATATAAATCCTATAATGTCTCGTACATATTGCTTAGGCCTTAGGTTGTTTGAGCATAGGAGGTTGGGTGCATGTGCTTGTGTCTCCAATTAAGCTACTTATTAGGTCCCAGAAACTTTCATTTTTATTTGCTCATCATAATGAAAACTAAAGCCATTAGAACTCTATTAATCGAGCATTAATCTCACATATCAAAGGGTGGTCCAATCACAATCAGGTTTCAAAAAAATAAACACAAAACTGTTTTCTCTTATTTCATGGTTAAATTTTACTCTTAATTAATCTGACATCGACCACTCTTTGAGGTGAACTCGACCAGCCTAAATCATCCAAGATTTGCTCCACCATCAATTACTATACAAAATGTGTGTTGCTCTAATTGAAGATATAAAAAGACATATCTAATCAAATAATTCTTCCTCCTGGGATCTAATATTGCACATGTGTCTCTACAGACCACCATGTTATAAATAAAAAAATAAAAACTGTTACTGTTGAAAACAATAAACATATAGTAAGAATGGCTACAGAATGATTCTCTGTCTTTTCAATTTTTTGTCTATACCATATCTCTTTAACGGGTTTAGTAATAGATTATGATATAAAGTATGACTTTTCACTAAAAGTGATAATTATTCTTCCATCCTTGGTAACCAATCCCTGTAATGGCAAATATAGTCTCTAAGGCTGAACCCATTTCTTTCAAATGTGCTGGAAATTAAAATACCAAACGATGATCTTGTATCATTTATTATATGTTATAATTAATCTGTTCAGTACAAGTAAGGATATACGCGTTTCTGAGTTGTTTACTCTTGAACGAGATACACATGCTTTAGAATATATATATCTTGCTGTGCTAAAATTTAATAATTGGTGCAGTGTAAACATATATAATTTTTGTTTCTAATTAAGCTACCATCGAATCCCGTACATATCTTCATTGGTTAACATGTTATGGATATATGGTCTATGGTAATTAATACTCGACAACAATCTAATCGATCGACAAATTAAGGAGGTATTTGTCAAGTATTTTTCTGTGGCCTTTTTGGGTTTTTAAAGTTTGAAAGATTAAAATTTGGTATTTCTCTCTTTGTATGTTCTAAATGGATTTCATTATAATACTAGAAAAATTTATAATCAATCAACTTGCATCATAAAAATAGAAATCAATCAGGTGGGTTTTTACCAAAACATGGGTTGTGATTGGTCGAAGGCTTTCTAATATTATGTCTTTCTAATATCATATATTTTTCCACCCTAAAAAGCTCATGAAAGTCTAAAATGGCCAAAAAAGCTTCAAATGAAACTCCGCATCTTTCTGCAGTTAAAATCTATCATTTAACACCTCTCTAGGTCATGGTAGACAAGAATACTTATCAAATGGTCTACATCATTAAAGACAAGAGATCAAAAGCTCGTTACATCTTTTGACTAGATGTTCCTAAAAGAACTTGCTAAATGGCACCTAAATTAATAAAGCAAATACATGCATGTTCATTCATTTTGCATGAATCTCATATGTCCAATCAAGGAGTAAAGACTTGGATGGATTTGAAGCCCTATTTTGCTAAAGTTTTTAAATCGAAGTTGCCTAAGAATGGGTGATCAGGATGTGTCTAGCAGACGCCACATGTCAGGATCCGCAGGATGGCCAGGTTGCCTCCGGCCAATGTCACGTGTCAAGATCTGTAGGTCGGCCAAATACCCCTACACCACTTGCCCCAAACTCTTGAGGCCATAGTGACCGAGGTTGGTTGGCGGCTTGCATCAAGGCCACGGCTTCGACCGAAGAGATTATAGTACATTCGTGTAGAGGCGTCAGCCTTGACTGCGAAACTCTTCTTAGCGGTTTGTCTGCTCCATTCATCCTTTGCGTTGATAAAGGATCGCTCTAGGCCGAGGTTGTAGACCGTGGCCTATATGGGCGTAGGATATCCACGTGCATTGCTCGTGCCCCGTACGGGTGCTGACGTCATCCGCCATAGTTCCGTATGAAAGACAGGCATCGAGGTCGAATGAATGAAGCCATGCACGAGACGATACGCGGGGGGGGCGATTCAATACATCCTTGAGCCGGAATCGACGGGCAAACCGGCCTCGTCTCTTGGCATCATTTCGTCTCCCAAGGTCAATGTCACACGGAGCCCGTTGGTTCGGGTGTTAAGTCGGCAGGTCCACGGCCGTTGGATCAATTGGATCTGAGTCGTACATTTTTCTTTAAATAGAGAGGCTAGTTGAGCGATTCTTCACCATTTTCTCAAAACCTCCTGCCTTAGAGCTATTGAGGACACCTTCGTTATCAACAACCAATCCCTTAGACCTTCTTTAACTAACATCTTTAGGTAAAGAATTCCTGTCTCCAACATGTCAACCTCGGATTCCAGTTGTGAGGCTTATAACCATCTTAACTAGAGTACTCCTAACAACACTCCTAGTAGTGATGGAAATGATAGCAATGACTCTGAGATCTCCTCCCGGGTGTCTAGCATCCAAAGTGTTGCGAGAGAGGGTCATGCCTCACAGGGCCAAGCACGACTAGCAAAGTGCAGACTCTGCCAATGAGAGTACGATTCCACACGGTCGAGAGCCAACGCCTCAGGGAATGTTCTTGGGCACCCCTATGTGATAGATGTGGAAGAGGTCGAGGAGCCCACGGCCGAGTCCTTGGTGTCCCCAAGGTCTTCTTGGTAGTATGTAACTAACGATTTTCCTTTTTCATGTGCAGATGGTCTCTTGCTCGGCCGGCCTGTCCGATAAGGTCAAGGTGCTGATCCAACAACTTCGACAGGCGTAAAGGAGATTGAATGCCTAAAGCAGCAAACGGTTGAGGTGCAATCCGGTTGGGAGGTGACCAAGGGCCGAGCATGAGTGTCGCAAGAAAGTCGAGGTCGAGGGGGCAAATAACAAGGAGCTCATGAAGGACTAAAGTCATCACTGGCCTCAATGGAGCAATAGCTGGAGGAGTCAACTGCAAAGGCAATCAAAAAGTACAAGACCTCAGAGGAGCACGAGACGAACCTAACCACCTTTGCCTCCCAAGCTAACTTAGAGAGCTTCGACGGCTACAATGCTTAAGTGACAAAATTCCTTCCGAGCTTCGACGTTGGCCAATTGGGTCCATTCGCCATTGAAGCTCAACATATAGTAGATATACTAGGGACGGACGAGAACCCAACCGTCGATGCTACTGCCAATGCCCCTGCCCGGGCCGCCGCTCAGGCTAGAGGGGGCCAATAAATTGTTTTCTTGTTTTCTTTTGTTTGTGCCTACGTGCCCCTGAACTTGTATATTTTTTCGTCTTTCCTTTTTTTATAA